GGCCAGTGCACCGAGGACAAAAGTTTTTTACTTGTTCTCTGGAATGCGGGGGAGGAGAGGGGGGAAGGAGAATTCCCCACCAAGTCTCTCTCTCTCTCTCTCTCTCTCCTCCCCCCCCCCAGTGGAGCCCACATCACAGCAGCTGTAGGGAGAGCGCTGCTGCAAGCCCACTCCTCCTCTCCCTGCCATTTGCAGTGACCCCCCAGCCCCTCTCCGTCTGGCCACTGGCTGGTGCCTCCACGCCCAACTGCTGCTCGACTCTGCTCAGACCCGTTCCCAGGGAGAGCAGGCCAACTTTAGCCCCATGCTTCTGTGCTACCCATTCATCCCACGAGGAGACTGACCAGCCCACAGCCCCTTACCTGCTTGCCGCATGGTCCCGAGACGAGCCCGGCGCAGCAGCCCCCGTGAAGTGGGCTACTGGGCCTGAGGCAGGCAGTGGCGGCTTGCCCTGGCCCCCTCCCCTACCGGTGGCTGCATGTGGCCCCTGGGGAGCTGGGCTGGCTCCTCTCTCCGCTTCCCCCAGCCGGGGAGCAGCGGGCTAGGTAGGGAGGGGGCTGAAGGCACTTCCTAAAGGCCACAAAGCCCGCTCTGCAGGGAGCCCCCAGCCGCCCTGGCAGCTGCTGCCTGGGGTTAACCCTGCCGGCCCCAGCCCACAGGTGGGTGCCTTTCCCAGCCCCTCTGCAGGGAACCACCCCCTGCCCGCCAGGGCTCACACCGCCCTCGAGCTCCACAAAGAGAGCTGCTGCAGGCCTCATCTCCCCCGCCACCAACCGGACTTCTAACGGCCTGGTCGGCGGTGCAGACTGGAGCCGCCAGGGTCCCTTTTCGAAAACCGGACGCCTGGCAACCCTAGCAAGGCCTGGTTCAGATCCTAGCCTCCCCCAGCCAGCAGGGCCCTGGCGTGTTGCCAACTTAGCTAGTTTGTCACTAGATTTAGTGACTTTTTGGTTTCCCTAGCGAGAAAATAAGTGACCAGTGAGAAATCTAGCGACTTTCACTGCCAATGACAGTGACATTCAGAGAAAGACGTCACCAATATGTATAGTCACCAAATCATTCACAAGCAGCTCGATAGTGTTAATAAAATCCATTCCACGCTCTTCTTACTACGTTCTGTTGCACACCCAGTCAATGTCATTATGTCTCTATGGAGCATGTCCTTGGAAGGAATCACATTCCAGGGCTTCTCGGGCTGAGATCACTATAATCTGCAGGCGAGAGAAATACATTTGTGGAGGCTAATTAAATAGTTTGCTAAAGCCAGGCGCGCTTTGGAGAGAGCACCAGGCCCGGGACTTGTTACCCAAACGTGTTCTTTCTCGCTGCTACGTAGTAAGTCGCACAGCCTGTGATGCAGGGTACAATGGCTAATGAAGCGGGCTGGGTGGGGAGGCAGGTTAGCCAGCGAGGAGAGCCGCACGGATGGAAGGTGGGGTGGGATGAGACAGGGCCAGGTGCCCCAATGGGGTGGGGGAGCGCTGTGCCTCCAGGGAGGAAGCCCTTACTGCAGGATCAAAGGTGGAGCTAGCTTGTTTTCAGTTCCCCTTTACCCCTTCCCCTGGCTTGGCCGGGGTTAGCTGCCCAGCTGTTTTCAGAAATGAAACCCTGGAAGCAGGGGGAAGGGGTCCGGCTGGTGGACTTTTCTTCTTTAAATCTACTTTCTTGGCTCCCTGCAGCGTGAGCTCAGGTGAGGCGAATGGGCTCTTCCGCCCCCGGCTCTGGGCTCTCCCTTCCACTCACCTGTGGGCTCAAATCCAGGCGGCAAGGAAGGGAGGCACAGCTGAAATTAACCAACCCCAGCTGTGCTGGACTGCCCTGTACAGAGCACCCTTCCGGCTGAGCAGAGGGCTGCAGTTTCCCTCCCAACGAGCAGAGGGCGCCCTCCTGACGAGGCCGGTGTACTGGTGTAGTTGCTTCTGGTGTGCAACAGAATGTAGAAGAAGTGCATTAGTAACACCATCGAGCTGCTTGTGAATGATTTTGGGACTACACTCGCCTGTGTGTGTATATATGTATCTATATCAAATTCTCTGTTGAATTCTCTGGAAATTTTGTTAGGTGACATTTCTGATTCCTTTTGAGTGCTTCAACAGCTGCATCTGGCGACTTTTCAGGGTTTGTCTGGTGACTTCCTGCTTTGTGGAGTTGGCAACACCCCCCCAGCAGCACAGAGTAGCGGGGTATCAGCAGATGGAGCGGGCAGGTCATCTGGCAGCATTGTTCCAGTGTTGCTGACTCTCAGGATGTTGTTGTGATTCTCTTGCTGTTTGGCATCCAAGTCCCAGCTCTTGGAGTCATGTGGTTATGAAAGAATCTCAGCTTGCCTTTTCAAAAGAAAAGTGGTTTTCTGGCCTTTGGTGCTTTGGGGAAAAGGCTGCAAGTGCCACCCACGGGCACCCAAAAGGCGAGGGAAGAGATCCCCTGGCTATTGTGATAGTTTTGTAGATCTTCTTATTTTAAGCCAATCTCGTGATTTTGGGGAGCTCGGGGGCTGACTTGTGATTTTTGACAGTTTGGGGCTGGCCATTCTGCGGATAACACCCCTAAGGTCCAGGGCCGGTGCAAGGAAGTTTCGTGCCCTAGGCGAAACTTCCACCTTGCGCCCCCCCACTCACCCAGCTAACCCCACCCCCCTGTGCCAGCTAACCCCGCCCCCCACCCGGGGAGGCCGCCACTCCCCCCCACCCAGGGAGGCGCCTCCCCCGCCACAGCAGCTACCCCCCCCTCCACGGCAGCTAACCCCGCCTGGGGAGCCCGCCCCAGCTCACCTCAGCTCCACCTCCTCCGCTGAGCATGCCGGCGCCACTCTGAGGCTACATCTACACTACAGGGGGGGAGTCGATTTAAGATACGCAAATTCAGCTACGTGAATAGCGTAGCTGAATTCGACGTATCGCAGCCGACTTACCCCGCTGTGAGGACGGCGGCAAAATCAACCTCTGCGGCTTCCCGTCGACGGCGCTTACTCCCACCTCCCCTGGTGGAGTAAGAGCGTCGATTCGGGGATCGATTGTCGCGTCCCAACGGGACGCGATCAATCGATCCCCGAGAGGTCGATTTCTACCCGCCGATTCAGGCGGGTAGTGTAGACCCAGCCTAGGGTGACCAGACAGCAAGTGTGAAAAATCAGGACGGGGGTGGGGGGTAATAGGAGCCTATATAAGAAAAAGACCCCAAAATCGGGACTGTCCCTATAAAATCGGGACATCTGGTCACCCTAACCCAGCCTGATTCTCCTCTCCTTGCAAGCTTGCGGCACCGATTAGAGGAGACTTAGAGCGGGGGCTGTGTGCTCAGTGGAGGAGGCAGAGTGGAGGTGATCTGGGGCGGGGAGCGGTTCCCCTGTGCGCCCTCCCTGTTACTGCAGGCGGCCCGCCCCGTGCCCCCCCACCGCCCCAGCTCACCTCCACTCCACCTCCTCGCCTGAGCGGGCTTTTAGGTGCCCCCAACCACTAGGCGCCCTAGGCGGCCGCCTAGTTTGCCTAAATGGTTGCACCGGCCCTGCTAAGGTCTCTGCCGTGGCATGGGGTGGGGGGCTGCGCGGGGATCACACGTGGCCAGCATGGCAGCTGGCCTGCTGCATCAGCCCCCCGAGGTGGGTGGGGCAGGGAGAGCCAGGGAGCTAGTTACACAGACTCCTCCTCCATTGCAGGGATTGACAGCTGGATCAACCTGACGCACGTGGACCCCAATGAAGAGGTTCAGGGAGAGATCTGCCTGGAGCTGAAGGTGCTAGAGGAGCCCCAGAGGAGGGCCCTGTACTGCCATGTCATTGAAGCCAGGTAGGAGTAGATGGCTCCTGTCTCTCCCACCTTCCTCTCTATCTTCCTCCATAGTGGTCTCCCCTTTCCTCCCTCCCCTCCTCAGCCCAAGTGCCTCTCCAAGCCCCAGCAAAGAGCTCTCCCTTCCAGGATGGAGCGACAGGTGCCTGAGACAGGTCCAGGTAGTCACTTCCCTCCAGGCAGGAGACATGGTGCTGCAGGCCAGCTTGTGGGACCAAGGCTGGGGGCAGGGGATAAGATGACGGGGGGTTGCCAAGCTCTATGCCTGCTTCAGTTCCTTTGCTCAATGCCACGGCCCTTCCCCCTGCTCTGGGTTGCACAACGCCACCCCACAGAGACACCTGCTGTCCTCACTTCATCCTGGGGGCTGGCAGCCTGAGACCAGGAGTCCAGTAAACCCCAGGCCAGTGCGACTCCTCGTGGGTTTAGGCTGAGTTGAGACATTAACGGATCTGTCTATCTGATGTCTGTCACCCTGGCATCTGGGCAGTTTGGCATGGTGCCTGGATGGCACGGCAATGGGCGCACACGAGTGCATGGATATGGATGGCGATTCCCACAGAATGACGCGCCTGCGTGTGGTGGGCGGTGACCCATTCTGAGGTTATCCCGAACCAACCGGCAGTCAGGGCGGGGCCTGTTAGCCAGCTGGGGGTGGGCAGGCACATGTCTCACCTCCTGTTAGGGGAGGAGGGGGTGAGGCTGGGGCGAAGGGAGGTGTGCCCAACACCCATCTGCCACTGAGCTGCCAGGGTGAGCTCTCCCTGATCAGTGGCCATGGGGACTCACGCCCTCCTTCCCACACGCGTGCTCCCTGCCCACTTCTCAGATGTGGAATGGTGCCAGTGGAGGCTGCTGCACCGGCACTGCTGGGAGACAATGGGCAGCGCGATCCAACCCAAACTTAACAGCAGCACCTCCTTCCACATGGTGCGTCAGGTGTGCTGCAGCTGTGCTCTGCTCTGTTCTATCCTCATTCAATACAAGTGGAATAATTGGGGTTGAGATTCTTTTCCTTCCTCATCCATCTGGCACAATTCCTATCGCAAGAGTAAAGACCCTGCTTCCCTTCTGCTGGCAAATAGTGATATTCCAGTAGCCCTTAAAGACCCCAGCTGAGATCATAAGAACGGCCAGACTGAGTCAGACCAAAGGTCCATCAAGCCCAGTATCCTGTCCTCTGACAGTGGCCAATGGCAGGTGCCCCAGAGGGAATGAACAGAGCAGGGAATCATCAAGTGATCCATCCCGTTGCCCATTCCCAGCTTCTGGCAAACAGGGGCTAGGGACACCATCCCTGCCCCTCCTGGCTAATAGCCATTGATGGACCTAGTCTCCATGAATTTATCTAGCTTCTTTTTGAACCCCGTTATAGTATTGACCTTCACAGGGGGAGTTCCAGAGGTTGACAGTGCGTTGTGGGGAAAAATACTTTCTTGTGTTTGTTTTAAACCTGCTACCTATTAATTTCATTGGGTGGCCCCTTGTTCTTGTATTATGAGAAGGAGTGAATAACACTTCCTTATTTACTTTCTCTAAAATCACTCATGATTTTATAGACCTCTATCATATCCCCCCTTAGTTGCCTCTTTTCCAAGCTGAAAAGTCCCAGTCTTATTAATCTCTTCTCATACAGAATCCATTCTATACCCCTAATAATTTTTGTTGCCCTTTTCTGAACCTTTTCCAATTCCAATGTATCTTTTTTGAGATGGGGCGACCACATCTGCACTCAATATTCAAGGTGTGGGCGTACCATGGATTTATATAGAGGCAATATGATATTTTCTGTCTTCTTATCTATCCCTTTCTTGATGATTCCCAACATTCTGTTTGCTTTTTTGACTGCCGCTGCACATTGAGTGGATGTTTTCAGAGAATGATCCACAATGACTCCCAGATCTCTTTCTTGAGTGGTAACAGCTAATTTAGACCCCATCATTGTATATGTATATTTGGGATTATGAGATCAGGGTCCCACTGTGCAGGGCGCTGGCTGTTCACATAGTGAAAGACAGTCCCTCCCAAAGAGCTCACCATCTAAAGACAAGGGGGGAGGGATAGCTCAGTGGTTTGAGCATTGGCCTGCTAAACACAGGGTTGTGAGTTCAATCCTGGAGGGGGGCCATTTAGGGATCTAGGATAAAAATCTGTCTGGGATTTGGCCCTGCTTTGAGCAGGGGGTTGGACTAGATAACTTCCTGAGGTCCCTTCCAACCCTGATATTCTATGATTATCTCTGTTTCACAGATGGCAACACTGATTAAGTGACATGCCCAAGGCCATGCAGAACCCATGGCAGAGCAGGGAATTGAACCCAGGGCTCATGAATGCCAGGCCACAAGCGTGTCCTTTCTCTCTAAAGCATTTAGGTCATGCATAGACAAGAACCAGGTGCCCCACTAGGAATGGAGAGGAAAGGCTTTTATTGATGTTGTTTAAATCTCTCTCTAAAATCCCATTCTCGCTGTTAAGCTGACGAGAGGTTCTTGCCTGAGCTGTGCTCTTCGGGAAGTGGCGTTGAGACATGTGAGGGCCCTGTCTGGGCGGGTGAAGAGATGAGATGATGGGAGAGAAACAAGTCAGTTTCATAAATGTGAAAGAGGAAAAGATCCTCCCCCTATCCTGCTCCCAGCACCAGCTGATTTAGAGCTCAGGAAAGGCGGGCAGTGCCGGTGCATAGTGAGGGCAGGAGTTATGCAGACTTTCCAAGCACAACTGTGCCAGTGCCCCTGGTGTCGCCTCCTAGAGGTACCAGCATTGTGAGGCACCTCGTGACCACCTGCCCTTGGTGTGAGGAAGTCTTGCCTATGCCTGCCAGAGGTCAGCTCCCTGCCTCCACCAGCCTCGGGCAACACAAGCCCGCCCCTCTCAGCCTTCACAGGTCCTGCTGTCCCTCCGCAGGTTAGCGATAGGCACCCGCCAGCCCCCGAGCCCTCTGAGTGCCCACCCGGAGTGTCCAGCTGCTGTTCCATTGGCCACGCTCTGTATTCACAGACTCTCTGCTCCCAAAGGAGCAGTGCACCACAGTTTGCCAGCTACACCTGAGATCACAGTTCTGCTCGACGCTCAGCACTTAGATATGTTTATAGTGTAAACAAGCCAAGTCTAGCAAACAAAGAGTTGAGATTTCAAATAATTGCAAATAGAAGTAACTGGAAACAAATGGTTACATATAAAATAAACTCATAACATGCATTCTAGAAGCTTGACTTAACGAACTAGATATTCTCCCCAAAGTCCTGCCAGTGCTTTTCAGTGAGGGTTCGCGGTGATCTTTCTACCACGAGACAAGTCACACTGTCAACTTGCTTCCTTGGTGAAAGATTCATAGGGTTACCTCTGCCCTCCCCTCCCAGCTATACTCCAATGACCCATTGTCATTACTTGTAAACAGGATGCCCCCTGCTTGTTGGTTTTTCCTATATGCTTCTTTCTTGTAGATTTTTGCAAGCTCTTGATTAGGACCTGGCTCCATATGCAAATAGACCTCTAATGTGAAGCGAACAATGCACAATGCCCAGACAGGGAGTCTGCCCAGTCTATTAGCCCCTGCCTGAAAGGAACCTCTACTGTTTATTTGCCTTAACTCCAAGGCTTTGAGAACATAATTGCCAGTGATCATAACAATCATTGCAAAATGTACGTATGGATAATATTGAAGGACTTGTGTGTCTATACTGGGATACTGGCTCTTAGTGGAGACCTCACAAGCTGCCCGTTGGTGAACTGTTATGCCTACACCTGACCCTAGGGGTCCCTGTGAAACCCCAGGCATTACTTGTGCCCTCTGCCTGTTGGCATCAAGAGGTCTCTGGGTCACACCTACCCCCTTACATTGATGCGGTAGGGTCAGCCACTGGCTAATCCTTATGTGTCATCTCAGAACCCTCTTTCCCTTAATATGTACAATTTCTATTTCATGTTCCCAGAGAGCTGTACTCCAGTTGGTATGTTTGGTTCTGTGTAGGCATACCCACAGAGGGTAGTGTGTTAGGGCCCTGAACTTCCTATTAAACAGATTGACTTAACTGCCCACACAATTGCATGACATTCTCTTTCTATGACAGAGTAATTCTGTTGGGGGGGGGGCAGTTTTTTACTTAAGAAAGCAATAGGATGCTTTTTATTGCCTTCACCTGCTTGCATTAGTATTGCTCCCAGGCCTGTGTGAGATGTGGCCATGCAGAGTTCAAACCCCTTGTCAAAAGCCAGAAAAAGTTTTCTCACAGAATTTTCTCTTCCCCACCAAAGATTTTCTGACAGGCTGCCATGCACACCACTTTGTTGGACTTTTGCAAAAAGTCAAAACCTGTGACAGCAGACACAATGACACTGACCCCCACCCAGCCTGCAGGAATAATTAGCCAAGCCTATAAAAGTTGAATTTGCTTTTGTTTTTGTGCACAGGCCAGTTAACAACTGAGTCCACTTTCAAGGTATCCAAGCAAATCTGGCCTCCTTCTACCCAATGACTTTGGATGCCCCTATTTGACACTTTCACTGAGACCTGCACCCTCAGCGCAATTCTCAAGTGGTTTTTAAGTATCAGGGGGTAGCCGTGTTAGTCTATACCCACAAAAACAACAAGGAGTCCGGTGACACCTTAAAGACTAACAGATTTATTTGGCATAAGCTTTCGTGGGTAAAAAAACCTCACTTCTTCGGATGCATAGAGTGAAAA